GAGGAGGGATTAGGGTCAAAATAAGGGGGTGGGTGGAGTGGAAATTGTATGGGGACTATAGCCAAGATGAAAATGCATACATTGTGTAAAAATGAAAAATGATATAAAATATATAAAATTAAAAAAATAATAAATACATATTCAAGAGACAGAAAAAAAAAAAAGATTTTGTCTAATCTCAAAGCCCATGATTTTTTTCCTTATGTTTTGCTGCCCCTACAGTTCTCTCAGGGTCAAGCCTTCTCCTCTGAGGGCATGTGAGTTAAAATGCATTAGTTGCTCATAAGAGGCCAAACAAATCTGGTCATTGGAATGAGGCTAGGAGTCTTGGAGGATCAGGCAGCACGCTGGATAACTTGATAACTCATGATGTCTTCTAGAACTTGAAGTATCAGAAGGGATGTTTTCTTTTTTAAAGAATTTTTCTCTTTCCTTCTTCTGGTTCTGCCCAGCATAAGAAAGCAGAATACAACTACCTAATCATTTCTTCCAACAGAAAGATTTAACTTGAGCAGCAAGTATCTTCAAAATGACCCCAAAGGAGGCCCAATGGGGTCTTAATTTGGTTTCAAATTAAATAATACCAATATCACACTACTGGTGGCAGGCTCTGAAAAATTCTAGCTCTGCATGATCCAGTTTTTGTTTAAACACTCTTTTCAGTGGACGGGACACTTTTTCTGTGTCAGATATATTTCCAGATTGATTTATTAGGAGGTTACATTAGGATGACTAGATCGCTACTCCTAATCTTACAGCATCCTTATGTGGGTCTCACCAACTCCTGCTCATTTTTGGCCTTTTGTTATACTGGTATACCATACTTTATTTCCTCCACAGAAGGAAGAAAACTCTGGAATATATATGTTAGCTGTTTCTTGAACAAAATAATATATCTCCATTCTGTTAGTTTCTTTGGTATTTAAAGAAGTGCTGATGGCTCCAGTTCTCTTGGCTAGTTAACAAAAGGTGTATTAAGATTAGAAAGGGGAGAAATGCGTGATTTAGTGATGGGAATTTTGCGGGAACTACACCTGAGAGGAGAAAGCATGCATTGTACAAAAAGGAAGAATGATGTAAAATATATATGAAATAAAAAAAGATTTGAAAAGGGTAACAATATATGAAAAAAGAAGCCTACAGTTAGATGAAAAATGTTTTTACCCTGTCTCAAAAAATGCAGCTGTAACACCATTGATGTGTTAAGATCTAATAATCCTTATTTATATATCCTTTTTGCTCCTCAAAGAGCTAATTGTATCCCCATGATCTTAGAGACAGGATTAGTGATGAGAGTGTTTCTTTGGAAAGTTTGGTTTCCCCACTCACCAACTGCAGGGGACACTTACTTCTCCAAGCATCAGTTTTCTTACCTGTAAATTGGTGATAGTAGTTGGGCCTCCCTGGTGGTGCAAGGAATTAAAGCACCACACTATGAAGCTTCTGCAGCCTCGGCAGCATGAGTTCGAGCCCTGGCCAGGGAGAAACCCACACGGCGAGGCAGACCTCTCCTGTCTCATTCGCTGCTCCCCTCAGCAGTGTGTTTCAGTCAGTCTGCCTGTTCTGGTCCCCACTCTGTCTCTGGTGAATCCTCTCACCCACCCCCATACCTCTGGCTTGCACCCCACCTCTTGTATGCATAATTAAATCTTAAAAAAAAACCCAAAAATTAAAAAAAAATGGTGATAGTAGTAATCTTTTCCACATAGTATTTAGGAGAATTAAAGCAAGTAATGCATATGAGATGCTTAATATAGCACCTGTTATCTAGGAAGCTCTTAGTATATTTATATAGAATATATATAATTAGCCCTTTTAAGTGTACAGTTCTGTGGCATTAAGTATGTTCACTTTGTGTAACCATCAACATTCATTCCAGAACTTTATCTTCCTAAACTTGCTACCCATTAAATAAGCTTCTATTACCCATCCATCCCCCTCAGTTCTTGGCAACTACTATTCTTATGTCTTCATGAATTTCACTTCTATATGCACTATGTGGAATTATACATTTATTTAAGCTTCATTTATGCTATAAAAATGGAATTTCCTTCCTTTTCTAAGGCTGAAAAATATTGTATTAATACATACATACACACATACATAGTTTTACTATAACAGTCAAATCCAGCGCTCTCTGAAGTCACCAAAAAGGTGTGATTTCATTTACCACTGACCAAGATCCAGCTTCAGGAGGATTAACATTTCTATTAGTCATGATAAGAAATGCAGATTAAAGATTTTTTAGTAAAAAATCCCAGGATCACCTTTGAGTCCTTTTCTCCACCAATGTTCATAAAGTCCCCGTTAGGATACATCTCGCTTTCTTCAAGGTAAAGAATGTCTGTTCAGAGAAGCAAGACAAACATTTCTATACCTCTGCAGCATGAGTTCCATCCCCGGCCGGCCAGGGAGCAACCCACATGACGCAGCAGACCTCTACTGTCTTGCCCGCTGCTCCCCTCAGCAGTGTATTTCAGTCAGTCTGCCTGTTCTGTTCCCCACTCTGTCTCTGGTGAATCCTCTCACCCCCTGCCTCTCTGGCCTGTACCCCAGTTCTTGTATGCATAAATAAATAAATCTTTATAAAAAAAGTCTGAAATTTAGTTTTAGAACAAAAATTACAACAAGGGAAGGAGGTTAAAAAACAACAAAGAACAGAGCAAGCTGTTGGGACAGATTGAATTATTCAAAGAAAGGGCCATAAATATATTTCCTATCTCATGCACTTGTTACAACATGGTGTTGACCTTCTTCCGTCAAGAGGTAGGGTCTATTCTCCCCTCCCTCAGTCTGGGCAGAACTTGGGGAATGTTTCAAACAACAGCATATGATGAAAGTGAGGGGATGTGACTTGTGGACCTGGTCAAGCAAAGTATTACATGTTTCATCTTGGATCACCCCACCAGTCCTGCAAAGAAGGTCTAAAGCCCCTGGCCTAGAGTCAGTACCAATGTGACAGCTGAGTCAGCTACCTTGGAAATACCTGTCCCAGCCCCACTCAAGTCTCCCAGCTTCAGATGGCTACAGACCCAACAGACATAGTACTCTAACCTTAATGAGATTCCAAGTGAGAACTGCCCAGATGGACTTGTCTGAAACTAACAAAAACCATGAGAAATAATGCTGATTGTTGATTCAATCCATTAAGTTTTGGGGTATTTTGTTCTGGAGCAATTGCTAACTACCGTTACTTTCTCTTGCCAGTCATTGCCACACAATCATGGGCATGAAATGAACGTTACTTTGAGAAGACAGAATCAGAGGCATCCAAAGCAACACAGGCATCCACGCAGGCAGAGCCAGGTTCAGGCAAACATTCGAGTCTACATTTCCATGAGTACATCATACCCAGGTGAAAATGGACAGCTGAAGAGGAATGTTCAGCCTCAGGAACTATTGTTAGTTGAGCCTTTGGAATACACAGATAAATCAAAGAATAGGCAAAAAAAGTGTACTTGTAAACTCAACTGGTTTCACTATGCTCAGCAAGGTAGAGTAAATCTTGGTTAAACCAGAGGGGAGGGTCTTCCTGAGGTGGACTAATACCTCTTCTAAGTTGTTACGAAACATAGGATTCCACCGTCTTCCAGGTGCTTTAATTTAGAGCACAAATTTAATAATGGTTTCCATAAACAGAAGCCTTTGGACCCTTCTTTTCAAACAACAGTTGTAGAACATTTCTCCATCGTGGAATTTTTTAATGAGACAAGTTTTACCTTATGAATGAATGAGCCATGGGAAGGGCTTTGCCTCTGTCAAGAGATTTGGATGCTACACCTGATCTGATTACGAACACTGCCTATGACTTTCAGCAAGTCCCTTCAATCTCAGAAACTTTTACTCTGTCAAAGAAAGGATTTTTTCCAACATCTGGAGATTTTTGCAGTTCTTTGACACTAGGATAAAATACCTCCTCAGCTAATAATTATGTCTATTCATTGAATGTATTAATCCACATTATGGTGTACTTTAGCAAACTTCTAGAACTCAGGAGCACATGGCATTTAGGAGCACTGAACAAATGAATAAAAAACAAGCACAATTATACTTCCATTTAAACAGAAGAGTGTTTTGCTGAAAGTTTAAGTTTTTTGTTCAGAACTGCTTCATCTGTCATATCATTGCTTGAAGAGAATTCATACCACATCCTAAGTGCTATAAAATAGTCATATTTCTGTTTTGTCTCCCTAATATATCTTACACCAATTCACAACTTGAAGTCACTCATCTCTGTGGTTCTCCTCCCAAAACCACCTTGGGGGGTGTTAATGTTCTGGCAGTGTTGCTTTGGGTGAGTCCATTTGAGACAATGCTTGGTTGGGTTTTTTTGTTGCTAGCTTTGAATGATTAGCAGCTTGCCCACTCTTGTTAGGGTGGGCAAGGGAGACAGGAAATATGAATGATGGGCTCACCGAGACCCAGATCTTGCTGGCAAGACAGTGGTGCTGCACTCCTGTGATAACAAAGTTAGAAATGACAGGTGTTCTCCACGTTAGCGCAGAGCTGGCAGATTGTTCTAAAAGTCCCCTGGAAACAAATCTGCACTGCACACCAGACAGACATGAAACCAAGATTTATTAAAATACCCTTAGCATATTTACAACTGAAAGCCATGAATGCAATTCTCTGCATATTCAAAAAAATAGAGTTCTATCTCTTAAAACAAATTAACAGAGTTATCAACGGATTAGGAGAAATATAATCTATCACAGAGATAGAATTCTTTGAATAGACAATCTACATATTGTAATATATACTATGTACAAAAATACAATTGATGTGGTGACCAGGTAGTGTCAAGAAGGAAAAAAATATATATTTATACACGTACACATATTTTCATTATGTACAAGTCAATATTGATTCCTTCACCCTTTCTTTTTAAAAATAAATACTTCGTTTGATTGCAAGTGACATTTATAAATTCAACTCATAAGCACTTCTCAGTTCTGACAAAATTAAATATGCAAACAAATTAGAAATACATATTTTTAAAAGTTTAAAGGGAAAAAAATACCTGAATCCAAATAGCTTTTACAATAAAATATATCCAAGAGCATGTAATGTAAGGTTTCATGTCTTGAAAATGTCTTCTGTTTCTCAAACTGACTTCATTATTGCTTAAAATCCTTCAAGATTACATGTTAGATAGGTCTAATACTTAATTGAACAGAAAAGTCAACATTTTTCTAGGTCAAATGGTTGACTGTTCAGGACACACACTTCCTTTTTAACCGCTTTCAAGAGTGTAACAATTATTGTTGATCTGAACCACAAATTGTCAATAACCTGATTCAGACTGTGGTGGATGCTCAAATCACGAAGAAGAAGATTGGAGTGGCCATTAAAAAAGCCTGATTCAAAATGTTTGCACAGAAGTCAGTTGATTTGTCCAGCAGCAAAGAAAAGTTACTTGAGATTCAAAAATTTAATCCCATGCATCATAGCTGGTGACCTGGACTGATTTATAATTTGTCAAGCGAATGGCCCCTAATTAGACAGTTTTAAAGTAAAATCTATGAGAAATCGAGGAGGACTAGAACAACCCTCCCCTCAACCTTCTTAAAATAAAGTACCATGAAATGAGAAATGTATTTTCCATTTCTTTTATGGATTTTCCCCTTCGCCTAAGTGATGAGGTGATGCTGACATTAACAAGAGGCAGTCACAGTGCTGTGTCTCGGTGACAGCGAAGCGTCCCATCCAAAGGGCTGGGGAACGGGTGTGAGAGAGGGAGTGAGGGCTGAGGGAGACACTGGGCTGTCTGTGAGGGAGGGAGGAAGTTGGGTCCAGGAGAAACTGTAAAGGTAAAGTGGGGAAAAAATAGCTGTGGGGTGTGAAGCAAGGGGAGATGGAAGCAGTAAGTATGCAAAGGAGAAAAAAGGAAGCAAGATGCCAAGATAACTTTTGGACACGCATAGAAAAAAACAGGAAGGTCCAGACAGCTCACCCCATGGAAATGAACTTGAACTTTAATGGAGTTATTAAAGCAAGCACAGGCCAGTGCCACTGGGGTTCCTGCTTTTGCAGCACACGGTCAGGCACTGACCGATAACGAGACGCTGGGCTTTCCCATCTGCCTAACAGAGTTCTTGAGTTTCCATCGGAAGGCTGTCTATGCTAGAACCATGGCAAAAAGCATCCGCTCCCTAGCAACATGCTATTTCAGTAAAATATCGCTGGCCTCTTTGGAAGTCTCCTCCCCTGTCAACTGCATTCCATCGCTTGCCGTCTCACAGGGCACAATGAAGAGATGTCATTGCACGGGAAGAATACGTGGTAGGAAGTAGAACTGAGGGTCACTGAGAAAATTAAGCCCTAAAGGACTTGAAATAATTCACATTTCTATTAGGCCTGATTCCTATTAGGATTCGGACTGATTTCACTTAGGTTGTGGGCATGCAGGCCAGTGCTTATTTTCCAGGCCAAAGCACGATCCCCCTAAATCCAAGTCCAAGGGCACCGGGCGTCCCACGCTAATCTAAATTAAAAGTCAATGAAAGGAAAAGACTACAATGAATCAATGACATATTTTCTCTAGGAATCTTAAAAAATGCTCGATTTCTAATTTAAAAAGTTTCTGCCTTTAAGGAGTATCTTATATTGCTTCTTTAAGGGGAAGTTTTTTTTTTTTTTCCCTTAATGCATACAATCTTCAAAGATTATCTCATTTACAGTAGAGTCACACTGCTTATCTTGGGAAGTCAAAGAATTTCAGAATTATGTAAATAGCAGAATAAAATTATGGCAGGATTATTGTAAAAGTAATGATTTGAAATACATCTATCCCTCCAGATCCTATTCTTCACCCTGGGCGGACAGGAAAATTGTAACTAAACTTTCCCTCTCATTCATGGATTTATTTCCAAAAGAAATGGATGTCTTCGGGGGATTATCCAGAGTGTAATATCAGTGGGGCTGAGACCACCCTCTTGATGGCTTGGTGTCAGAGGCGAAGAAGAAAGATTGTAATTAGGGACAAGTGGCCAAGAAAAATGGGGAAAAAATGGGCTATTTATTTATAGATTCAAATTAAAAGATTTTGAATCTCCTCCTAGTCTCTTATTGGAAAGAACAGTACAATTTCCACATGATATACCCCACTTAGATACTAATCATAGAAGTAAACCTGGAATTCAAAATGCACCCCAAGACTTCTCAGAGCTGCTCATTCCTGAATACACCCATCATCCACATCTAGGGGGGCGTGGGGGGTGGAGGGTGATTTCCCTTTATATCCAGTGGTTTAGCCTTTTGTTTTGGAAAGGTTGACTTGGAAAACAGACCAAAATGAACAATAAAAATAATTTCTTTCATGAGACAAGAATGGAAACAAACCCTGGAAGAGAACAATAAAGGAAAGTAAAGGCAACTCTGCCAAAGACATTGACAAACCACTGTGAAACGTGCCTGAAAACATTTGATTTCTTTCTTGATACGTTAAGTATAAGATTATGCATTGGCAGCTCACACCATACATGGGGAGAAAGATTGTCTTTGACGCCAGAGATTCCCTTGGTCTCTGCACAGGTAGAATTTAGGGAAATATCCAGTCTGCAAGACAACCCAAGTTTGCGAGAAGGATGTTTACTACATAGGGAAGGTTTCCAAATTCTTTGGAGGTGAGTTTGGCAGAAACGATGGACTCATTTGCATGCTGCTAGCCCAACACTATCAAATGTCATACAAAGCATAAAAAGAATAGCTCACAGAAGTATCTGGATCAGCTTTTAGAAAGGAAACTGGAGAGTCTTAGTATCTATGAGATTAAAAAAAAAACCCCAGAAAGTTATATAAATATAGATGGAACGTAGAATAATAAATAAATGAGTTACCACCTTCTTATAAAAACCTGGGATGAATTCAGTCTTTCTCAGATCTTAGGATGAAGAAGATCCTGTGGACAAGTACTTCATTGATGTAACATGCAAGAAAGTCTGGAATTCATTTGAGCTCTTGACTGCAGTGGACCATCATACATACTAAAGAGGGAAAGTTGAAGGCGGACAGGGGCCTCCAAGATACTGGCTATAACCAGGGTGGTGGGGAATAGAGGGGCAATGGGTCCAACCAGCTCCATTTGAAGATGCACGTCCTGCTAAGCTTCCCTAATGGCTCCACTGGTAGAAACTGCTCGGGGGCTTCAGAGCTGAGTGAGCGAGCTGCTATTTCCCAGTAAGTTATTAACTACACAAATTTCCCAAATGCTAAATTTCTATCACCGCGTCGATTAAGAGTCTTGGACCAAACGAGGCTACTGAACTGGCTTCAAGTTTGACAAGTAAGACTCTTTGAATTCACTGCTTCCCAGCAAAGTGTTGATCTGGGAGAGTTTGGTAGATTGCCCACTCCTTGGGAGGGGAAATGAAGAATTGTGAAACTAACATTCAGTGCCTCTAACAAGGTGTCAACAACTGACGGGTGTGCAGAAAGGACACAAAATGGGCCTCTTGGTCACATACAGCTGTGTAACTGAGCCTCGTTATGCCTGGATTCAATTGCTAATGGAGTCATAAATACTGTTATGTGAGTCTGATGGAGCCAGACCTGCTGAGGCCTGTTTCTGAAGGTGCTTGTCTTTTAGTCATTTCTGTACCAATAGTAGAAAAGTTTCCAAGCAGCTGGGTTGTTTCTCTCTATAGCTGGAAAATGGAAACACATCCAACAAGCTATTTGCATTTTGGAAAGGCTAAAAGCTATCCATTATTTAAAAATACTATTAGTTTTGCCACAGACTCATTTTGTGCTGCAGATTTTTTATGACAACAAAGTAGCTGACATGAATCAAGTGCATTTCTTAATTAAATCCACTCTCTTCCATGTCTTTAGGCTTTCTTGAAGGTAAAATACTTAATATATGAAATGTGCTATTCACGTCTTCTGGATATTCCACATATTTATAAATTGTCCTTTGGAGGGAATTCAGCGTAAGTAAATTTTAATGGTCTAGTTCTTCTACTATATTACACCCCTTCTCATTGCATGGAGCTTTTTAAAAAATAAACCATTTAGGGTAATCTTTGAAGACGCTTTCAAATTCATACTCTAAAAATTGCCTGGTTTGGCTCAAGTCTCAAGTGATCGTGAAAAAACTCATACTTTGTCCACAATCCTCAGCCCTCAGAGCTGTTCAAATTCTTCTGTTAAAAACTTCTACAACACTGGATTTCACAGCATCTCCATTTTATTGGGGACGACCAAATCTGATGTTTTTTCTTTTCCCTTTCAGCTTTTGGCCATATTTTTTTTTTTCTGCTTAGAACAGGCAGTATCAAAGAAAAATGAAGCTCAAATCTAACTGACAGTTCTTGCTAGCAATTTTTAAAGAAAATTTAAATGACTTTATAAAGCCATACACTTGATATTTGGATCAGATATTTACGAAACGATGGTATCTTTTGGACTTCTTCCCTCTCCTTGACACAAATTGGCTTTATCCCTGCTTTGGGAGGGTCAGAGTGCAACTGAGTAGACCTAGGATGTCAGAGAAGGAAGAGGCTCCCCTGTCAGCACAGTCTGGTGACTAGACACAGACTGTAAGGCTATGTGGCTCATTCCCCTTCGGACTCTGACTCAGCGCTGTTTGCTGCACTGCTGGATGCAGCGACCCGCACCGAAGACACCAGACAAGGGAGAAGTAGAAATAGAAATGGGGAAATATAATGTGAGAGAAGGCAAGAATATAATTAAAACAAAAAAAACCTCCCTCAATGCAGGCAGCATAATCTACAATCCCAGGCCACCAGGCAAATCTTTATCGATAATACACTTCCAGATTGTTTCAGATACCATCTTAATTGAATTTTTGTGAACCTTTACTGTGTATCAATGTAAGTTAGAAAGGAAGGCTGTGTTGCCAATGGGGTATATATGTGCACATGGGGAGACATAAAACGGGGTTCACAAAGGTTGAGAAGAACAAGGGCCGCTATGGTGTCTAAGTACACTTAGTACTTGACCGGTGTGAAGAAGCCTCCGGGCTTTTCCAATGGAGGCAGATTTCATTCTTTCTAAGTAGGTATTTTACTGCCAATTTCTAGTCTGTTAGTACAATGAAATGCAACTTGAGCTGCAACTGTCTACCTCTGAAATGAAATGATTCCACATATTCCTCTTCACCACTGGGTGCCTGAGAGCATGTCTGTTCAGGGTTATGTGCTGGTCCTGCTACCTTCAGTGCCTTTCTTGGGAGCATCCTAAGACTTAGAGACCTGATACGGACAACAGTGACCCGCTAACTGCTTCCTCCAAGTCTGTGAGGACCACAAGGATCCAGGTGAATGTGATCTCATTGAACTCAAAGTTGATTCCCAAGGTGTGGGCCAAAACAGGTACTTTTCTTTTGTGTGATGAAGCTAGAGGTAACATCACAGGGCACAGGGTCACTTGAAGTGAAATTTGTCTTCAGTGGATGAGATCTCTTGGATATCTTCAGAGTTCAATAAAAATGAAGAGAGAGCAGTACGAAAGCTGCCTACTCACAAGTAACTTTTAGTCACCTAGTTCTTTACCAGCTTTTCTATTTTGCTTTTCTCTTTAATTTTGAATTCAGAACAAAACACACCACCAACCAACCAAGTTACCATAGCCTTTCTTTTAGATTGTTAGAAAGGGTGGCTAGCACCTTCATGAATATGGCTTCTGAGACTTGTTTTGATCCTGATTGTGCATTCTTGACTCCCAAGATGGGCATTTTATTAGGATATGGTGCTACCTCATTAGCTGACTTATTGGGGTCCCTGAGGGGCCTGAGGACTGGCAGACATGTCCCGGGTGACATTCAGGCACCCGGCAAGCTGAAAAGTGCAACTTTTCAAGATGTTGCAGCAAGGTGTGGCCACTCAAGAAACTGGGGCTGTTCCTGTCTAGCGCAGTCTCCACCAGCTGGACCTCTCTCCCTTTAAGGTGGAAGCATGATGGCTTTGGATCCTATTTTCAATTCACCCTCAATCCTTTCACTTCCCCCCTCATAATGCAGATTCGAAGAGTGGTGGCTTAGGAAAAAGTGTCAGGGAGAGAGGTTCAGGGTGGCCTTCCTTGTGACTCAGGCAACACTGAGTTCCCAGGGTCAGAAAAAGCATGACATTCCACTCAACATCTAATATTAATGCAATCACAATTTCATTTTGATGTAATAAACATTTTCAATGTCAAAGGCTTCTGTTTAACCTTGTATCACACGCCTGCTGATCTTGATAAAAGGCTGCAAGCACCACTTGCTCTGTCTGGAAACCACCTTCAGGGGGAACCGGGGATTGTGAGGGGCAGGAGGGGTCTAGACCCACACAGCCCCAGAACACATTTATCCACTCACAAGTGATGTGACATGTGCTCTGTTACTGGGTCATTCTTGTCCAAGCAGGTGCTCTGACCCCAACTCTGTTCCTATTTGAGTATCAGTGTTTCTTCTGGGAGTTGGGGTGCAGAATCCCTGCTGGTCCAGAAGGCCACAATGAACAGGTACATTGGATTTTCCCTCACTCTCATTACCTGAACAGCAACAAAACAGCCATTTCTCTAGTCTGGGAAATACAGGGTCTGAGACCTCTTAAAAAATAGCTTGGGCAGGTTGCAACATTTTTGGTGCGATAGACACTTCAGGATCTTACTACAATAGAATAAAAAATCAAGAATAATAATCAAACCAGCAGTGTGTACAGACAAAGGCTCGAGTTTGCAGTTGTCATGAAAGATCCTTGTCTTCTTCTGCCTTAAGTTTACATATATCAAGTATATGGTTCAAAGGCTTGAAATCTCCACTTAAAAAGTTTGGGCGGGGAGGAAATTTTGATAATTCTTCTGGCCTTCGAGAGGGCTCTGGACTTCTACAAGAGATAGTTATCAAATCCTGCAATGTCCCGGAAGCAGCTTTTCATGGTTTCTGTGGGTTAGTAAGTGACTTGTTGAAGAAGGCAAGAGCCATTCATTGCAGATGACCTCAGGATGAGATTAGCATAACAAACGTTTAGCAATGGGCATCATTCAAGAACTTCCCATAGCACTTCCCTGGTGTTGCAAAAGATCAGGCAAGGTACTTGCTGCTCCTGTCTTCATTTTCAGGTGTCTTTGTTTTAGTTGATGGCCACGCTGGCTTCCTTCTGACGCAGTCTTTCTTTCTGTTGTTTAAGGAAAAAAAATGAATTTATTACTATTCTTTTTTCTAATGTTTCACCTTCCTCAAACTTTGATAAATTCCTCTAACTTTGGTCTAGTTGTTGATAGATCTCCTAATCTATCACCCTTACTCTCCAAATGACAAACAGGTAAAATGAATGACCAGTCATTTAAACATTGATCGTTTACCGTATCAGGCTGGTCTGTGACAAAGATCCTAACTTTATAGTGTTACTTTTTTTTTTTTTTAAGATTTATTTATTTATGCATACAAGAGCTGGGGTACAGGCCAGAGGTGTTGGGGGGGGGGCGGTGAGAGGATTCCCAAGAGACAGAGTGGGGCACAGAACAGGCAGATTGACAGAAGTGTACTACTGAGGGGAGTAGCGGGCGAGTCAGGAAAGGTCTGCTGCACCATGTGGGTTGCTCCCTGGCTGGCCGGGGATCAAACTCATGCTGCAGAGGCTGTGGATTGCTTCAGAGGTTGCATCTTAAACCCTTGCACCACCAGGGAGGCCCCTATAGTGTTACTCTTATCCCTTGGTCCACTAATAGAATTAGGGAATACCCAAGAAATAATTTCTAAGGAATCTAGATATGAAAAATCACTGGCCCCAAGTTGAATGTATTTGCATATGATCAACTTGGCAGAAATGAGCAAAGCTGTTGCAGAATGGAAGGTGACTAGGCCTCCCTGGTGGCACAGCGGGTTGAGCACCGCACTATGAAGCTGTCAGCAGCCTCTGCAGCACAGGTTCAATTCCCATCCGGCCAGGGAGAAACCCACATGGCATGGTAGACCTCTCCTGCCTTGCCCGCTGCTCCCCTCAGCAGTGTCTTCGGTCCATCTGCCTGCTCTGCTCCTCTCTCTGGTGAATTCTCTCATCCTCCCTCTCCTCTGACCTGTACCCCAGTTCTTGTATAAATAAATAAAAATCTTAAAAGAAAAGGGAAGGTGACTAGATTTAGTGTCTGCAGAAAGTCAGAAGCTCCCTTTGTGCCATGAGTGTTCTACTCTGCTCTCCACAAGTTCTCTCAGGGACAACCTTCTAACACAAGGCAGTCTGCTGGGACAACGTAAGGAAAGAATATGAGGGCACAAACCAGAAATGTGGACCCTCACTGTTCTGGGACTTTGGAGGAGTAAGTATATAAAGGATAGGTGTGTCTGCTTTTTGTGGAGGGTGGATTGAAGGCTAAAAAACAGACAAGGAAGATGCACACCCCTTTGGAAAGAGCGGATTAAGACCTATCTCAAAGGGACAGATTCTCCGCTGCTTGTGAGCTACGTGATGCGATTGCTGGAGTGAATTTCTAGTTTGGCCCCGATGGAAACTAAAGTTAGTCATTTTTAAAACCCTTCTGGAGTTTGGATTCCATCCCTGACTTGTGAAATGGAATCAGGGATCCATTTACAAGCTCTTCCCTAATTTCTACCACAACAAACAACCACCCTAGTAAGTTGAGGATCACAAACAGGAGCTTGCTACAGTGGTGTCACCTATACAAGAAGGCAGTACTCTAGCTGTTTCCCCTTGCTCTATAGGGCTGACATAGGGTTGGCTGTAAAAACTGGGGTGAGGCCCAAACAAGGGGAAAGGAGCAGAGGCTATTGAAGGAGAAAGATAAAAATCAGGGTAAACTCACCACTACCGAAAATCATATAAATGAGTGTAATGAAATCACTCTCAAAAAGGCCCAGAGAGCTTTTATAATTTTTAGTTGATTTTTTTAGCCATTTTGTTGTCTGTTGTAGACTTGTAATTTTACTTAAAGATTTTTTTTTATTTAGCTGTATTTGAATGTTTTAGAGTTTACTGGAATCTTTATACTAATTTTGTACAAAATTTGTAGTCTCTATAGCCTGATGTAAAGCAACATCAGTCATAGCAGTAGTGGTTAATAAACAAGTGTTAGGTAAATTAATAAAAACAAGAAAAATTAGAGAAAAATATTAATATTATGTACATTTAAAAAAAAAAGATTTATTTATTTATACAAGAACTGGGGTGCAGGCCAGATGTGCAGGAGGGTGAGAGGATTCACCAGACACAGAGCGGGGAACAGAACAGGCAGACTAATGAAATACACTGCTGAGGGGAGCAGCAGGCGAGACAGGAGAGGTCTGCAACACCATGTGGGCATCTCCATGGCCGGGTGGGAATCAAACCGGCGCTGCAAAGGCTGCAGATAGCTTCACAGCACTGCACTCAACCCACTGAGCCACCGGGGAGGCCCAATATTATGTACATTTTATATATATACATGACTTAGTAGGAAAGACAAAAGTATCTTTTATACCAGAAATTTTTTTTTGAAATAAACACATTTAAACAGAGTAAAGTATTAATACTCAACATTATAACTTTAAGCCACGTGTGTTTTGAATTATATCATTAGATTTGAACTAGTTTTTGTTTATTAAAAATGTTGGATTGTGATTTCAAAAAAAGGAAAAAAAAGACATGCTCAAAAAAAAAAAAAAAAAAAATGGCCCAGAGAATGTGTGTATACCCAGGGGTGAGGTGCAAGAACCACACCTGGCTATGACCAAGGGGCCTGAGGTCTCTAATTCTCACTCATCACCTCCCTCAGCATTCATTATACTGCTGTTGGGGCTGTTAAAAGAGATGCCACAATCAACCAATAGAAACAATATCATTTTATAACTTATCGCCCACCCACTCATCTTGCTTTAAGTGGATTTAAAGCAGTTGGCAAAAAGTACTTATAACATAAAAGGAGAAAATAAGTAGCTGTGGGAATCAGGATACTGGGAGGGCAGGGTCTGAAAGTCAAAGTGAGGAGTGTGATATTGCCACTGAGCTATCTGGCCGCTCGCAAGGCTGGGTCCTTCAAGGCAGCTTAAATATGTAGTAACAAGAAAAAGAGCTAACATTTATCGAGCCTTTCTGTGCTAGACATTCACACATGTCTTTGCTGTTTCCTGCAGATAACCTTAAAGCTAAGGTCATATTATTTACTTCCTTTCACCAAAAAGAAAGAAGCAAAGGTTACTAAAGTCCTGCAACTAGTTAAGTGGCCAAGCTGGGATTTGAACTCCGATACTCTGGGTTCCTAACCATTTAGCTATTCTGAGTATTGTCAGCAAAGTATGGGTTGAGAGTCATTGCTATTCTTACTGAAAAATGTGCTGTGGAGCGCAATGTCCTCTCAGAGCTAGAGGACCAACGGGGCATTGCTAGCTTTCAGCTCAGGGAGAGACACCAGGCAACCAGAGTGTGGCACTGGCTTGGTGATCTGGTCTCTGATCCTACATAGGTTCTATCTTTGTCCACCTCAGTTTTCCCAACTATCACAAGAAGAAAAGGAACTAAAGAAGGTAAAATATTTAAACCTTTCAAAAGAAGTGTTTTGAGATATGGGGGATCATAGAATGGGGTGGGGTGTGGAAGGATGCAAAATGGCAAAGTGAATAAACATGATTTATCAGGAAATGACCATTGTTGTTTTGCTGGCAGAACACAAGAAGTTGTGCTTTGTTTCTTACTCCTTCTCTCCCTATAATCTTTATCATGTGTAACTCAGGGGTGGGAGCTGAGTTTCTGGATATTCCCTGTCAGTACTTTGAGTTTTAACCTTTAAATTTAGATCCATTTCTGGGTGCTCTCAGATTAAAAGGAAAAATCTTGAGGTTATGTTGAAAAATACATCTCACCAGACTAGCTGTGGGGTTGATTTTCTTTGTCTCTACTTTCTTCTCCGATGTCAACTTGCTGACCGATTCCTGAGCCATCTTCAATCTGAAATAAAAAATAGGGAGGAAAAGAGAGGAGGAGGAAGAAGGATAGAAAAAAGAAGAGGCCAGGTTAAACACAAATGCAAATGCTTTGGAATAAACAATCAGTCAGTAGTTTGAAAACTAAGGAGCTTTTCAACATTAAATTCAAACTCTGGGTGTCAAGGTGTTTCTTCTGTGTCATTAAAACTGAATTTTCTTCACTGAGTTGTTCACCCAGATGAACCCCTAGATGACTTGGGGATGCAGGAGCGTCTGATCTGGAAAACTAGACGTGTCCATTTTAGTCTCAGTGCTTATGATATCTGGTTTGTGATCTACACAGCAGATAACATGGAGACAATTTTGAAGACTGAAGTTTTGAGAAAACATGAAAACTAAACATTATAGAATGGGAGTGCAAACTGGTCCAACCACTATGGAAAGCTGTCTGGAGGTTCCTCAATCTTCTAAAAATGGAGCTACCATACGACCCAGCAATCCCATTCCTAGGGATCTACCCAAAGGACACAAAAACATTGATTGAAAAGAACACCCATAACCCTGTGTTTATTGCAGCACTATTTACAATAGGCAAAACCTGGAAACAACCCAAATGCCCCCAAATAGATGACTGGATCAAGAAGATGTGGTACATATACACAATGGAATATTATTCAGCAATCAAAAAAGATAAACACATGCAATTTGCAGCAACATGGATGGCGCTGGAAGGAATTATGCTCAGTGAAATAAGTCAGAAGGAAAAAGATAAATATCGGATGGTTTCACTTCTGGCAGGAATTTAGGGGGAACCAAATAAGACATCAGTGTAAAAAATAATGGTAGTACAAAACACAACAAAGCAAAACCAGACAATTATAAAGCAGAGACATCCTGCAGGGGAGGAGGAGGGAGAGGAATCAGAGGGAGGGAGGGAGGAGCACAGGGGACTGAGGTGATGGTGCACGGGTGCATTGGTGAAGGAAATTCTATGGGGACTACACCTGAGGGGGTGGGGGGAAGTAAATATTGTTTAAAAATGAACAATAATGTAAAAAAATTTAAGATATTAATTTAAAATATAAAACTAAAAAAAAAGTAAAAAGACAAGCCACAGACAAGGAAAAAAATACTTATAAGTCATATATATGAAAAAGGACTTGTAGTCAGAATACACGAGGAACTCTTACCCAAATAAAAAGATAAATTTCCCAATTAAAAGGTGACAAAGGATTTGAATAGACATTTCTCCAAATAAGACATGCAAATGGCCAATAAGCAGACGAAAAGATGCTCAATCTCATTAACCACCAAGGAAACACTAAATCAAAACCAAACTGAGATATTTTTTCGTATCTACTAGGATGTCTAAAATCAAAGACAGGGCCTCCCAGGCCGCTCAGTGGTTGAGCGCTGGGTTGCGAAGCTGCCCACAGCCTCTGCAGCGCCGATTCGATCCCCGGCTGCTCCCCGGCCACTGGAGGAGGGTCCCACATGGCGCACAGACCTCTCCTGCCGCCCGCTGCTCCCCTCAGCAGTGTACCTCCATCCTTCTGCCTGCTCTGCTCCCCGCTCTGGCTCTGGTGAATTCTCTCACCCTCTCGAGCTTCTGACTGTACCCAGTGCTTGTATAAATAAATAAATAAATCTTAAAAAAATAAATAAAATAGACAGATAATAACAAGTGTTGGAGGTAAGAACTGAAAAAAATTGGAATCCTCATCTGCTCCTGATGGGATTGTAAAATAATGTGATTAGTTTGTCAGTTACCATATTACCCAGCAATTCCAAGCTGGGTATATAAATGTAAATATATCCAAGAAAATGAAAAGAAATGTCCACAGAAAATTCTGCATATGAGTATTTATGACAGCATTATTCATAATAAGTGAGAGTGGAAACAACCCAAATTTCTATCAACTGATAAATGGACAAAATGTGGTCTATCTGTACAACAGACTATTACTGGGCCATAAAAAAGAATGAAGTGTTGCCACAAAGTGGATGGACCTCCAAATCCTACAGAATATATGATTCCATTTATATGAAATATTTAGAATATCCAAATACAGAGAGACAGAAAGTACATTAGCCATGCCAGGGACTAGTGGGGAAGGCAGGAGAGAATAAGGAGTGACTGCAAGGGGTGAAAGAGTTTCTCCTAACCTTAGGCAGAGGTGATGGCTGTAAATCCTTGTTAATATATTGAATTGTATACTTTAAAAGGATGAATTCTACTGTATGAATTTTGTCATCAGATTTGTACATTAGTCAGACAATGTCAACAGTTACTGAGGATATAGAGCAACGGGAATGGCCATAGTACTTTCGGGAGTAGAAGTCGACACAGGTGGTTTTGTCAATATCAGTAGAATGGAAAACACAAACACCCTATGAGTCATCAATTCCTCTTCTAGGGAGAGAAACTTTTGTAAGTAGACAAAGGGTTTCCACTGTGATAATCTAGGCAATAATGTAAAAGTAGAATCAATCCACTGATCAGGCTCAACAGGATAAAGCGTAGTAGATAATAGTAAACAATAGGTAACAATTACTGGGTGCTTACTCCATGCCAAGTGCAATTCTCCTACTTCATTTGCAATAAACCATTTAATTCTCATGAGATAGAAACTTCTACTAATCCTATCTTATAGGTCTTAACCACCATGCAATGCTGCTTATGTGTTATATTTACTTAATGGACGATGGTAAAACTGTGGAAAGGAATAAAGTGGACCTAGGAGTTCAACAATGACAGATATCAGAATCAGGATATTGAGAGAGTGAAGGATTCTGTGGTGACATGGCAAGAGGCCATCTAGCATTGTGGACAAGTGGTCAACTTCCAGGGCCTGACTGTGGGATTAATTCTCAACCCTGCCACTTATTAGTAGTCTAAGCCTGAGCAAATGACCTACCTGTGCCTTAATTTTCTAAAAAAGGGAATAACATTAAAAGTGTGCACGTTACATAGAATCATTGAAAGATCAAGATACTGCAGTCCTAGGCACAGTGTAGCCACTGAATATTTGCTCTGCGCTTGCAGGATTCTGCATCGTATATATGTTTGTAAGTAACACTCACAAAACGAGAATGTTCACAGATGGGTACATGTGGAAAAATGTATGTACAAAAAACTATATTTACCTACAGATACATGCATGTATACACATTCATGAAAATATCCAAAAGGAGAACGACACTCACTAATTTCCAATAGAGGTTATCACTAGAAAGACGAAGAAGAGAATGGCATCAGGAGATAATGTGTCAAATAGAATTTCATTTATATCTATAATGCTTCACTTTTTATTAAAATATCTTAAATGTTATCTTAAATAATACGTGGCTAAATATCAATAGGCGATTCTAGGTGGTGGGAATGTGGGTGTGTTACATGATCATTTGTATTTTTCATTAAAAATGTTTTAAAATATTAATTTAAATATCTACTAACTCAGACAATTAGAAAAGTGAATATGCTTTTTCTTCAAAGCCTTGAAAATATTTTGCTCAATATTAATCACATATTTACTTAATATTGAAGAAGTGGACAGCTTTAGTTTTTAGTTAACTTTACACAACTCACTTAAAACACCCGCTTAGTAATCCAATCTCCCTGTCCACATGTACAAGTTAGTTACAATGAATTCAATATGCTGGCTTGTGCATCAGAAAAGAAATAAAAAATGAGACAAAGATGAGCAATGATTTATATAATCCAAGAAGAAATACATCTGCAAAGGTGTCTTAGGAACAGGCATTTCTCCACAGTGACAAAGGTCCGAGTGCACATACCACAAAGCCTAGCAAAGTTTCCCCTTTTCAGCAATAACTGATTCTACCCACATGAGAAAAGAATGCACTGAAGGATCACATTCAGGGCAGACTACATTGAGACTGACTATTAAGGGATTTGCAGAGCAAGATGACGATACTCTAAATGAGACCACAGTTTGTAGCATTTACTATTGACTTCTCTCCAGCAAGACTTGCTTTTTAGGAGAACACCTATTAGTGGCCTTTTAATCCCAATTCCAATGGCATGGTTTGGAATTACCATCTCTCCAGGCCTAAATTTTAGGGAAGTTTTGGGTCATTTTTTGTTTTAATAGTTTCTTTTCACCTTTGAATTCCAGTCTTCTTTCAGTTGGTCTTCCACGTGCTCCCACTCAGCATTGCCTTCTTAATTTCCACATCCCTCATCAGCCCTATGGTCACTCTCCATGTTCTCTGGACATCGGGGGTGTTAGTATGGTTGGGGATGGGGAGGCATGGGGCATGAGTCTAGCTAAGTTTCAGTCTCCACCGCAAACCTTTTCCTATATTAGGGGCAGTTCTGCACATTAGAGGTCAGCATATACTCAGAGATTCTATTCTTCTCCAAACATTTTCATGCAATTATTAAGTTCCATTTTCACAGTATACTCCTGAACATTGGAGGGTTGAGAGAAGGCATAGTTTGGTGGCAGGGAGCTTCAGCATCAGCTAGATAGGATTCTAATTCTAAATCTGCCAATTAGTAAAAGATATAGTGCAAGTTAATCAACTTTTTCTAAACTTCAATTTTCTTAGCTATAAAATGGAATATCAACCACATGGTATTACTGTGAGAATAAAATGAATTGATATATATGAAAATCTAGTATGCCTGGTCAATAATGGATCGCCACTCTGGAATCTTCCATCACAGAGATAAAGGAACTCCTTAAACATACATGACAATAGTTTCTGAGTACAAACGAAACAAGCAAACTATTAGTGAAGTACATCTTAAATGATCATTTAGATGTGCCCTATAACAAACCAAATCAACTGATGCTATTACCCTGAGATTTAGGATACCTGGGACCTCACCTCAATTTTTCTGATCTGAATACAGATTCTAAAAGCCTTATCTAGAAGTTAAACTTTGGTGTTGGTATGACAAAAATTTCTTAAACACATAAATAAAAGAAACTATTTGAACATCAAAATAAAGGTTGCATCTACCACCTCATTTTTTCCCCCAAAGTTTCCTGG